TTATTCCCCACAAACTTTGCTTTTGTGACCAGTACAGTGATATTTAGAAATGTACCTATTTTCAATTAGAAAACGGGCGAATTTGTGTCTTTTCGTTCACATAAAGTCAGAAAAAATTTCAACCACATCAATTCCATACACCCATCCATCAAATTCACCATGAAAGTGGAAAATGATGGCAAGCTGCCATTCCGGGATGTTTTGATCCAGACGAGGCCTGATGGCTCGTTAGGACATTCCGTCTCCAGGAAAGCCACACACACGGATTCCTATCTAAAACCTGACTCCCACCATGCACCAATCCGGCCCAGAAGAACTCCCTCATCAAAACACCCAGCAGTCGAGACCAACGACAGAGAGGAGACAGCCGAAGGAGGCAATGGGCCCGTGGAACATGTGGATGTACGGGGTAAAACAAAATCACAACGCATAACAAAGCCGAGCATCAAAGCGATTCAATAACACGGCAGTACCCTCATAAGTTGTGTGAGATAGGCCACGCAAAGTATTTACACCATTGAGCTTGTACGCCTGCACTGCAAGTAAGGGGAGCGAGATGGTGCGATTGCGTGAAGTCAATAAAGGCTAATGAAGCGTAGCGGCAATGTAGGCACGCAGTGTTGTGAACTCCTCACCCCGTGGCCCTAGACCCAGTGAGTGCAAGTCTGAGAGTCACTGGCATCAGCTCGCTCCACCGAAGCCCGATACTTATACAGTGGTCAAGTTGGAATGTGTTTTTGTACTTTACTAGGGCTCTTAGACTCCCCCCCCCCCCTCTCTACGTATAACAGCGTTGCGTATTGTACGCGGTATTTTCACGTAGACGAACTACGCATGAACATGTTGCATGTGCAACGAACCGCCCTCTTTGTTAATCCACTGCAGGACGAAGGTGATCCCTGACCCTGCTTGGGTTGTGTGACGATCTTCCAAGCTCATGGCGACCTGTTTGTGTCTATGGTGGTCCCCATCGAAGCATCATCCAGGCTTAACCCCGCTTAGCTTCTGAGATCGGGCACGTGGGTGGTATGGACAATAATGCAAACAAAACATATGTAATGATATCATCGTTATCATCAGACATGATCATTCCACTGCTGGATGAAGGCTTCCCCAAGCCGTCGCTGTCCCTCGGGGTGCTGCAATGCAAACAATCGATCAAGTTCAAGCACATTGTCTGATTTCAAATCGGGGTTGGGAATCGAACTCAGGTGGCCGATTTCATAGCACCGGAAGATATGAAGCCTGGCTTCGATCCTGCATCCATTTACTATAGCTAACTATAAAAGTAAAAGCGGACTTTTTACCAATTCATTGTCTTCGTAACTCTTAGGCGATGAAGCAAGTAACTGTGCGCAAGCAGGCGCGTTATGTAACAGAATGTTATTGTGTGCGATGGTCATGCGCCTGCTGCTGTCTGGCAAGAGAACTCGGTCGGCGAATGTCATAAGAACTTTAGAAGGTAGAGTTTGGCGCAATTGACCCTGACAAATGTTCCCAATTGTGATAACTGCAGAATGTCAGGGCCAGCACTGACCCCCGAGAGGTTTGCAAAGAATTCCATTGTTTCGTGTCTTTGTTTCTCTTCAAATGAACGGTACGTACCGGTGATGAACAATACCGGTGCTGAATGATGAGGCGTCTCAAAGTCACCCAGTGGTGTTCACCAAGGAAGCGTCGGCTCGCAAGCAAAACAAAATGCAGAACCGAAATTGAGCGGCGTGCCCATGAACCGCGTTGCGTAACCTTATTTACAGGTTGGTGATAGGGGGGCATACAAAGCTCCATGACACGGCCAATGTTAAATGCTGAACAGAATGAGTAACGGTGTCAGCTGGCCGTGTCTATTGTGCATTCTGCTCCGGCTCTCACTCCGTGTATGAGGAAAGGCTCTAATGCTCAATTGTACTATTTTATTTGACTATAAGAGTTTATAAGGAGGAGCTGAGTCTTAAGCAAGAGGGTTAGGGGGGCAGGCCCCTCAGCACCCCCCGAGCACTCGAGGCTAAGGGACCGGTAAACACGAGCTTCCATGAATGCGAATTGTCAGCAAGGCCAAATGAGGCACGAATCATTAACGGCCAAATTTCACTGAACAAGGGAGCCACTCTGCGTGCGCTTGCAAGTATGTTAACTTGATCGGCGAAAGAAATAACTGGCTCGGCGCTCTCGGATATTTGTTACGTCGTTGCTTCATCGAGCAGATCATATCCTGTTGATAAGTGCTCATTTTTTTGTTTTCAGGAAGTATCCCCCATCTGCTGGAGGTTTTGGTTTTGGCCGGTGTGGTGGCACACAATGTGGCCTTTGGCGTTTGCGAAACGAGTGGGCGGGATTGTTGAGTGTCGGTCGTGCGCTGGTCATTGCTCTTTTTTTCGCGATGTTTCTTCCGCTGTGCGTTGGCTGTGCCAGCCTACAAAGGTGTTGAACTTGCAAGGGATGGAAATTTGGACTTCTGGTGAGCTGAGGTTGAAGATAACGAAATTGAATTATTACCCAGAATGCTCTCGTACACAGCACTTGGCAAGACTTGATATCATAAATTCCATCAGGCTAAATACACGTGTCTATGATAAGTAATTACAACACTGCAGGTAGTGTTACAGCTGAAGGCAAACAATTTAGAAAGTATTCCCAAAGCACTCCAAATACTGAACGGATTGTAAATTATTACCTAGAATGCTCTTCTAAAGCACTTGGGAAATGTTGTATATAATAGATTGTATCAAGCTAATCACACGTGAAGAGAGTAGACCGCTATTTGTATTGTGACAGCTGATACCAATCTCATTCCAAAAGCAATCTTAATATAACATAAAGAAAATAAAACTTAGTTCTTTTAATGGTTTAGGCACACACCAACACACTTGACAAATGAAAACAATTGCTTTATCGACAGAAACCTACGTAAAAAAGACAACAATCACCCACATAAAAGATCACAAATCTGCTTCGCATGTGGCAGAGATTTGTAAAAAAAAAAAAGGGAGGAAAACTGGCTCAAAACGGGTTGTTTTGTTGTGCACTTTTCGCAATCGGTCTACAATTCTGCGCAGGGCGTTCAAGCTATGGCATCATGTGCTTTATAGAGTGTTTCGAAAACATGTGCTGAGATATTTGAATTTGGTAAAAAAAAAAAATAACCCTGAATTAATTCCAACTGATCATCCTTTAAACCCTTGCATGGAGAGCAGTATCGTGTGTTGCTCCACGTGTATGAAATGCTGCAATACAAATTGTGCACCCTATGAGCACTCACAGCGGGCTTTGTACATACGTAAGTATATCTTATTAATTTATATAAGCACACACCTGCATGGCTATTGTTCCCATGAACTTCACTCATTATATTCCTCCACACATGTCGAGGGGGTGAGGTCTACGAGACTGAGCGTTTAGTTCTCATACGTACTATTTCCATTCACCATACTTCAAGTCGCAACACTTCTCTTTCTGAGTAATTCCTCGCACTGCTCGACTTTAGAATTCGTTCCCATCGTCTATTTTCCTCATAGCCTTACCCTAGTCAAGAAGCGTAACACATTCCTGCGGAGGGAGCTGGTAGGAACGTTGGGTTGCTCGGTCAATGGCCAGGGTCAACGGCGGCGTGGTGTATTCCGCAAATATGCCCGACTGTGAGGGTGGGCACAAGCCGGCGTGAGTCTGTTAAACGTTGAGTTTTATAAGGGCACCACGGGGTGACCAGTCCCCTCCGCACCCAGCCTCACCCCAGTGATATTTTTAATGTACCTATTTTCAATGAGAAAACAGGCGAATTTGTGTGTTTTCGTTCATACGAAGTCAGAAAAAAACAACATATGATTCAAAATGAACATGTAATTTCCAAAATAATACAAAAATGTCTACAAAAGATTTAGAAGTGAGTAGTTTTTCGAGATTTACGATTATATTGTAAATCACTTTCCCGAATCAGCCGCCAAATGTAGTTTCCCATCATGTTCTCGTTATACTGTCCTTGGTAGCGGCGTTCAAAGTTCAGTATATCCTGGTGGAAGCGCTCAACTTGCTTCTCTGAGTATGCCCCCATGTTCTCCTTGAATTTATCAAGATGAGCATCAAGGATATGGACTTTGAGCAACATCCCATTGTGCCGTAGTTCTTCACCAGAGTCTCAACCTAGCTCCACATAGTTTTCGACCTTGTGGTTGCCCAGGAAGCCACGAACCACTGCGACAAAGATGTGCTAAGCCACTTTCTCCTTACGAGTGAGCTTCTTGGGGAATTCATTGCACTTCAGGATCTTCTTTATCTGTGGTCTGACAAAGACACCGGCTTTGACCTTTGCCTCAGACAGCTTAGGGAAGAAGTCTTAAAGGTACTTGAAGGCTGCCGACTCCTTATCTGCAGCTCTGACAAATTGCTTCATAAGGCCCAATTTGCTGTGCAGTGATGGCATGAGCACCTTCCGGGGGTCCACCAGTGGCTCCCACTTGACGTTGTTCCTCCCCACAGAGAACTCGGTCCGCTGTGGCCAGTCCCGCCTGTGGTAGTGCGCCTTGGTGTCTACATTTTTTGTAGTAATTTTTGTATAACTTTAGTATAAATACATGTTCATTTTGATTCATGTTAGTTTTTTTCTGACTTTACGTGAACGAAAAGTCACAAATTCGCCCGTTTCTCATTGAAAATAGGTAAATTTCAAAATATCACTGTCCTAGGTCACGAAAGCAATGTTTGTGGGGAATAATATCCATTTTCTGTTCTTTTGAGGCATAAGCAAATAGTAAATAACACTTACTACCCAGGTTACAACAACAAAAATGTTACACAGTGTAATGGATGACTCTGTCCTCAGAGCTTGACTTCTCACTAAATAGTGTCTGGGTCTCTATTAGACGAGCATCTATGGCACATGACTAAGTAGCTGCGGCCATGGTGTGATTATACTGGGTGTGGTGTCCTGGGTATGGAGATATTTTCTGGGTCGCTGACTCGTACAGGTCCAGCTGAAATTAAGCCCTGCTGCTCGTACTGCACAGGAGAAGATGACGACTCTGCCCAGTGATGTGGAAAGGGGCGCGGAAGATGATGGCTACGGGCTGCCACTCAACGGCTACGAGCGGATGATGGACGGGAGGCTGAGGTGCAAATTCTGCGACTACACGTGCAAGGACATCAGGCGTCTGGAGGAGCACATGAGGACACACACAGGTGAGTGGAGAGGTCTGTGCGTGCACCTGCAGTCTAACGGTTAGCACATTGCGTTCAAGCACCTGGGGAGTTTGATTCCAACTTATAGCCAACACCTTTCATGATTATCTGAGCCAGTCCTGGAGCTCTCCTAGGTCCACTCAGCCTCAAATGAATACCTGGTATGATGTGTAAACCATTGCCACGTTTTGCTGTGCCGGTCTTCATAGGTGCGCGCTAACGGGACTTGCCCCAACAGTCTGTCAAGGCTATATGGGTGATCTTTGTCTTTGTTACACACACGGGCTCACAGTAAGATGCAGAACTCTGCCATTGTTTTATTTATCTCCTGCCTCTTAGTCCTAAATTATAATCATTCTCAAATGATAGTCGCGTCAAAGTGTGTTCCTGCTCAAATAAGAAATGAATGAGGCATCGCTCGACTTTGTGAGCGGTCATGAGCCAGTAGCAAATAAATTCACATTCATATGGTAGGGTACCAGTCTATCTGTAGGCCGACCACTGCTGACTTTGCACAGTGGGACTCAGTTAATTGACTGGAGAAACGAAAGTCGAGTCAACCCCCGACTGGAATTTGAACTTGCAACCTTCTGTGACTCATATGGCCTCGTCTTACGTAACTTTCTGTTATGCTTTCAATGCAATCGGCCCACTGCATATGAAGGTCCCTGCATATTTCCTATTGAACTTTCTTCAAATTGGCTTATTTCTGCTTATTTTCTGCAGAACTATTGGTATCTTGCATTTCATAATTGGGACCGTAAATGGGCAACTACTATAATGCAGTGCTGTATATATAATTACATTTTGACTTAAAACTTTCATGCCTGCAAGAATTAATATTCTTTGGTTCATTCGATAAAGTCACGTAGATAGAAAAATTATAATAAAAAATAAAGTGAATAAAAATAATAAAAAACAAAAAAACCACTCATGTAGACTGCAGCCTGGTTCTTAATCGGGGTGAGTGTAGTGGCAATCTATAATGTAGACTGTAGCCTGGTTATTAAGTTTGGTGAGTGTACTGGTAGTCTATAATGTAGACTGTAGCAATGCTTATCAAGCTGGGTGAGTGTACTGGCAGTCTATAATGTAGACTGTAGCCTCGTTGAGTGTACTGGCAGTCTATAATGTAGACTGTAGCCTGGTTTTTAAGCTGGTGAGAGTATTGGCAGTCTGTAATGTAGACTGTAGCAATTGTTCTTAGCCTGAGTGAGCATACTGGCAGTCTATAATTGTAGACTTATTATTGGTTCTTTCAGTAATAAAAATAAAATATAAATAAAAACAAACACCACGACGTTTCGATCGCAACACAAGCGGTCGTCATCAGGAAAAGGGGGGTTAGCCTCACAACTCAAGTCATGACCCAAAGTGGTTGATGACATCTTTTCAATGATAGCTGAGTTTATAACCATCCTCTCGGTTGAAATTGTGTCTGTGTCTGTATATATGGATGGCTTCATGAACGAATCTTTGTTGATAGCTAGTAGGCTTGAAAAGTACCATGGTCTTAGAGAAATAAATTTCGTGCGAGCCAGCCGCATTAAAATAATGATCAGCCACGGCAGAAGTATTGGTCCTACCGTGTTTCAAATCTGCCTTATGCTGACGAACACAGTCCAAGACATGTCGTTTAGTTTCCCCAATGTAACTGCTGCCGCAGATACAGCTTAGTTTGTAGACGCCGGGATATTGCATGTCAGGAATCTTGTCCTTCACAGATCACAAATTTTGTACACTGTGTTAAATCGGACCCGGATCTTGTGTTTGTTCATGATTTTGGAAATATTTTTGGTTACCCCTGCTATGTATGGCAAGGTGATGGTGTTGATTGGAGCTTCAGATGGCTCCTTCCTCACGGTTGGGGTGATGGCTTTGCGGATTGTGTAGTTAGAATATCCATTCGCCTTGAGAGCTTGGTGTACGTGTTTGAGTACACCGGTTAGGTGTTCATGGTCGGAAATACATTGAGCTCTATGGTGTAGAGTTTTGATGAAGGAATTCTTCTGAGATGGATGGTGGTGGAAATCAGGTTTTAGGTAGGCGTCAGTATGGGTTACATTCCTGTAGACAGAATGGCTCATTGAGCCATCTGGTCTCTTTTTAATTAGGACATCCAAGAAAGGTAGCATGCCATCCTTTTCTACCTTCATGGTGAATTTGATGGCTGGGTGTATGGAATTGATGTGGTTGAGGAATTGGTTCAGAGCTGGTCGGCCATGTGGCCAGATGACGAACGTGTCATCCACGTACCTCTTCCGCAAGGACGGGCGTAGAGTGGATGCCTGGATGGCATCCGACTTATATTTTGCTATGTAAATATTGGCTACAACTGGAGATAAGGGAGAACCCATTGGGGCGCCTTCAGTTTGTTTGTAGAATGTTCCATTCCAGTGAAGTATGTGCTGGTGAGGCAGTGTCTCACCAGGGCCGGTACATCAGCATTCAATCCTTGTTGGACCAAATCTTCAATGATTGCAATGGTATCAGGCACAGGAACTTTGGTGAACAAAGAAACTACATCGAAACTAACGAGCAAATCATCCTGGGGACAGTGAGATGTTTTTAATTGATGATACCAGGTGAGCTGAGTTAAGAACAGAAGAGGTGGTCTTACCAGTGAATGGCTGCAAGGTCTCAGACAGATAACGAGGCAGTTTGTAGGTGGGTGAGCCAATGGTGGAAACGATGGGACGAAGGGGTGTACCTTCTTTATGGATTTTTGGTTAGCCATATAATCTGGATGATCGAGCGGCAGAAGGTTTTAATGAAACCCGTTTGGTCTGTTCAATTAATGAAGCTGAATCAGTGATGATACTGTTTGTATTCATAACTAGGCTGTTGGTGGGATCTCTTTTAATTTTTATGTAGCTACCATCATTAAGTAGGTACACGGTTTTGTCCATGATGACCCTGGCATTGCTGTTGTCGGCTGAGAGGATGACGATATCATCCCTCTTTTTCAATTGAGATAACTTAAAAGCTCATCCTTACTGGTGTTGCTGGCTGGTATCTTAGCGCTTTTGAGGATTGCAGCGATATCAGATCTTGTCTCGTCTGCAGCGATGTGTCCCACACCCTTAAGAGCTACATCGACCTGGGCAATAATGTCATCCACTGGTATGTGTTTGGGGGTGACTGCGAAGTTCAACCCTTTAGCCGAAACCGACTTTAGATCCATCGGAAATTAGGATATTACTCAGATTAATAACAACCTTGTCAACGTCTAACTTTTTATGTGGATCTGGTTTCTTCTTGGAAAGGAGGTTGAACTTGGAAATCAGGTTATTTTTACATTTAGCTGACATTGTGGCGGCTGATGAAGCAGTCACGTTATCTACATGTTCATAATCAGATATAGAATTTTTTTCTGTCAATGTTAAGTGTGATTTCAAGAGTGTCTTGTCTACATGATCTAGTTCAGTACTGAGCAGTCTAATTCTCTCTGAGATCAGGGCCAAGCTAGCCCTGAACAAAATTCGTTTGGCATTGCAAGACACGATGGCAGCAGAAGTCAGTGTAAATGAGATCGGTATTACAATGATGTATATATGTAAATCGGACCCACTCATGTAGACAAGGCAGTCAAATTTTGGATACGTAAAACAATTATAATCAAAGTAATTATATGATTGTATATGACGCTCACGAGACCAAATTAGCCAGAATGCACCTGATCTTCTCAGGTCTCAGAAGTTAAGCATATTGGAGCCTGGATAGTGCTATATAACATGTGTTATAGTTATTCTTTGGGTCTTTCGGTAAAGTCACGTAGGTTCAAAGAAAATAACAAAAAATGTATGTTTGTTATTTTCTTGGCACATATCTACGTGACTTTACCGAAAGACCCAAAGAATATGAATTCCGGCAGTCACGAAAGCTTTCAGTCAAGGTGTTATAGGTTGCTGTGTTGTTAGCATGGAGACGTACAGCAAAATCCACTGTTGTAGTGCACTATACTCCCACACCTATGCTCCCCGCCTACTCCAACCGGCAGTGACAAGTGTGGTCACATAACCCCCACGACCCGTACAGCATGGGAGGGGGCCTTCATCCAGCAAGTGGATTGACAAAAAGGTGGCAGATAAAAATAAGAAGTCTAATACTGCAGTTACACATCTCAGAAAGAGTAACTAAATTCTACACTGAGCTGAAGGGTTGCAGTCTCGACAGTATGTAGTGTAGACAACTTAAATGCATTATTCCAGTCCCGCACTCACCCTACTAAATCATTGTAAATGTTGTGAATGTGATTATTCACCCCCTTGGCGATTGAATGAATTGGTCACATCGGAGATGGGAGGTGGTGATGGTGGTGGTGATTCAGCTCAAGGGTAAATTCACGTTGGGCTCGTTGTGGTGCATGCGTAGTCGTCGAGAGTGGCTACGAATAACAGACATCGTATTTGACTGTTAACAAAAGTAAGTGACCTTGGGCAGTTGTTGTCGAATATGTTGATTTTATTTGTTGTGTGTGGATATATGTAGAAGTTGGCGATCCATTTATAGATACCCCACAAACAAGAGTGATACAAAATACATCTAGGTTTTGTTTAAAAGCCTCTACACGTCAATCTCAAAGTGTGTTTATCTTTTCTACACTCTCTTTGTAAGAGAACGGAGCTATAGCTTTCATAGTATATTCATCACCTGTTGAAAATAAAGCGTCATCAGAAATCGGCGGGGTATCTATAAATGTATCATACATCCTACAACCAAGTGCGTTGCATTACCCCATCTCAGACCTCGAAGAATTATGTTAGCAGTGACAACCTATTACTCATCGGCCAGAGCAGTCTAACGCTCGCACAGCAAGAGGGCCGGCCCCACGTGTAAAACCACAGAGATTAAAACGCTGGATTAACAACTGTACGCGCACACTACTCACAGCAGCACACGCGGCTGACAAAAACACGACACGTGTCTATCTCGCTATAAACGCCGAGAGGAGCCTCGCTGGTTATTATTTCTCTAACGTTATGAACGAGGTCAAAACA